GAGTCCATTTCCTTGCCAATGAATATTGCCTGAGCCCTTTTGGAGCTTCTCTTCTTGTGAGATGAAGATTCAAGGATTTTGATGATGAGGACTTTGAAGATTTCTTCTTCTTCTTTGATTCATCAAAACTGTAATCCTTGTATTTCTTCTTCTTTGATTCCTTCTCCCATTGAGGACAATCTTGAATGTAGTGACCAGGTTTCTTGCATTTGTGGCAAGTTCTCTTCTTGTAGTCACGAGATGAGGCATTTGTTCTCATGTCATCACTTCTTGAGGATTTACCAAAGCGACCACGCCTTGAGAACTTTTGGAATTTCCTCACGAGCATTTCTAGCTCCTGGATCAATTCTTCAGGATCACCAAGACTGCTACCAGAATCCTCACCTTCAGATTCACAAACTGCCTTGGCCTTTAGAGCTCATGATCTTCCATAGCTCGGTCCATAGAGATCTCTCTTCTCAGCAAGTTGGAACTCATGAGTGTTTAGCCTCTCGAGGATATCAGCGTGATCAAGTGACTTGTAGTCTCCACGTTCTTGTATCATCAATGCTAGAGTGTCAAATGAGGAATCAAGTGATCTCAGCTATTTCTTCACCACCTCATGGTCGGTGATGTCAGTGCATCAAGTGCTTGAAGCTCATTTGAAATGTCAGTGAGGCGATCGAAGGTTTGCTGACATTTTCATTATCGAGTCGTTTGAAGCGGTTGAGGAGATTGCGAAGAACGTCAACTCGAGAGTCACGCTGTGTTGAGACTCCTTCGTTGACCTTGGACAACCTGTCCCAGATAAGCTTAGCAGTCTCCAAAGCACTTACTCTGTCATACTGCCCTTTGCTCAGATGGCCACATATGATGTTCTTCGCTTGAGAATCGAGTTGCTTGAATCTCTTCACATCAGCAACATTGATGGTGGGAGTGACAAAGGGAACGCCATTTTCCACAACGTACCAGAGATCGTTGTCAATTGCCTCAAGATGCATTCGCATCTTGTTCTTCCAGTAGGGGTAGTCAGTCTCATCGAAGGTAGGACACCCAGTAGAGACCTTGATCATACATGCGGTCGACATAACTAAAACTCCAGGCAGTTAAACCAAAATCACACAAAACAAGGGAGTACCTTACTGTGATACCAATTGAAAGTGCGTTATATCGACTAGAGGGGGATGAATAGGCAATTTTTACAAATTCGGCACTGGGGAATTTTAGGGTGAGGAAATTCCTAAGCAACGAACTACTTAGCAGCGGAATAAGTACTCAGATGCAAGTATAACAGAGTAGTAGCACAGTCATCATGATGAAATGAAAACAAGCACAGAGTACAAGTAGCATAAACACAGGATAATCATGCTGAAGACAAACTGACTGAAGAAATTGAACTGAGGAAATTGAGAAAGTCTTCAGTCAAAGTCTTCAAACAGTAACGATCTGGTACAACAACACAGTAATGAGGAAATGAAAGGATTGAGGAAATAGAACCAGTTAGCTCGACAAAGACAGTGATTTGGTAGACCAGTTCTAACTGTTGTGACAGTCGTACGTCTGGTTGGAGCAGCTAGGTATTTAAACCCGAGTACACACAGTCCCGAACACACAGTCATCGCCGTATTCTCCTTGAGCTAAGGTCACACATACCTCGCCCAATCACTCGTGGTAAGTCTTCAGGTGACATCCAAACCTTCACAGACTCGGTCACCCGTCGATCCACAATTTCCTCTTGGATGCTCTAGTCTAGACCATGACGCCTAACCGTTTGGAAGATGCACAGTCTTCAAAGGTAACAAGCATCGGTTCCACACAGGAACAATCTCTTCAGTGATGCTCAATCACTTTGGGTTTGTAGGTGTTTGGTTTGGGTTTTGGGTTTTTCCTCACTTGATGATTTTCGCTCAAAGTCCTCGGAGGTTGGGATGCTCTCAATGACAAGTGTCAGTTTCTCGCGGAGCAGCCAACAAGCTAGTGGTTGTAGGGGGCGGCTATTTATAGCCTAAGGAGCATCCCGACATGATAAGACATAAATGCCCTTTAATGATATGACCATTAGGTGGGTAGATATTTTGGGACAGCTGGCGCATAGCACAGCAATGGCCGGAAATTTGACTATCAAATTCCTCAGGGCTATCATGTTCCTCACTTATAGGCAATCCGCACTGGCGAATTCCTAACTCCTCAGTTTGAAAAATTCCTCAAAGACCAGAAGATCTTCGTCTCTGTCACTGAAGAAATTGACTGAACTGTATGAGATTTCCAATGGCTTCACTCGAAAGGATTGGTAGGTGTACGATTTTGAGATGAGCATCACTTGGAATCTTCTCCTTAGTTTTACCTCGACCCCCTTTAACAGTACGGTGTTTCCTATGACTCAAGAAAGATAAAAACGAAACTATGAAAACAAAGTCTTCAGGCTTCATATTCCTTGCATGAATATCAAGTCTTCAGGATCACATCAATTTCTTCACTTTCAAAGTATTCAGTTGAAGACATCCATTTTTAGGGGTCGACTTTCTCTGTAAATATCAAACTCCTCATAGACTTATAGATTTGTGTACACTCACAAACGCATTAGTCCCTTAACCTATAAGTCTTCAATACACCAAAATCACTAAGGGGCACTAGATGCACTTACAAGTATGACCCGTGAAAACTTATTGGGTTCACACGGATTAAGGAAGGCATAGGTTCAACCCATTGAGGTATCTTAGAAACATATACCACAAGCTTCAAGAGTAAAAATCACCAGCTCGAAAGCAGAGCATGGTTGGTCAAATCGGAGAATAGGATTTACTAATGGCATTATGTATCAGGGAAGAACTTCCAAAGTGATTGCATATGAAGGACGCTGTCGGACAAAATCCAAGAAGGGATCCGGTGGTCCTCATGGGATCTTATGTGAGCATCGGTACTCGGCCAGAGGAAGAAGAATGCAAGGAGGTCAGATTATAGAAACAACTGACTAATTCAAAGCTCAAATGCAAAGGGATTATGATTTCCATATCCAGAAGCAAACGCTCTGATTAAGGATGGATAGGTTGAGTAGGCTTAGGGATACAATCGATGGCAATTTGATTGGTCGAGATCCAGCTCATGTTTAAAATGACGTCTGTGCCGGAAGGATGAATTCTAGGATCTGATTGAGGATTGCGAGCATTCGCAACATATCAAGTGACTCAAAATGATAATGACAAAGGATACTAATGAATATTTCAAGTCATATGGAACACAACCATAATGCAAGCAGACAAGTATTTGCAGAGTAATAGCGGGCAGAGGATTACCGAAAGATCAGATAGTATTTCAATGTGCCTTGTGAATCATATGAATAACGGGGGAAGAGCGGATAGGTAAGTGCGAGGAATTATCCATAGAGGGTATTCATGTGGCAAGAACTTCAAAGTAGTAGGCACAAAGTATTCTCGGATCGATAGAGAGAATTTTGGCGTACCTTGTAATAACAAGATCAACTGGGAACAAAAGTAAGAATGACATGTGTATGTATTTATCCATAGGGATATTTCGGTGGTAGGAAATTGCAAAAGCAACGGGCACAAAGTCTCGAGAGAACGTCGGAGAGTATCTTCGAAATCCTTCGGTGCACCAAGTAATCATCTGAAGTGAGGGGCTCGCCGGGAGGAAGTAGTTACGAGAACCTAAAGTAAGAGTAAGTGAAATCATTTAACCCGAATAAAAGAGAGATTAGAGTCCCAGAGTATAGACGAGGAATAAAAGATCCTGGTACCAACCAAATGGCGACGTGGGCCCGTAAGACACACAGCCATGTTAGTAAAAAAATTGCAATGACTAAACTCGACTTCGGCCAAGGAGTGTGAAAGGAGGATTCCTATAGGCAGTCGGCTCTGATACCAACTTGTGACGCCCCCGATTTGACTATACATTAATCATACATGCCAACGTGTACGATCAAGATTTGGGACTCACGGGAAGATATCACAACACAACTCTAGACACAAATAAAAGTCATACAAGCATCATATTACAAGCCAGGGGCCTCGAGGGCTCGAATACAAGTGCTCGAACATAAATGAGTCAGCGGAAGCAATAATATCTTAGTACAGACATAAGTTAATAAGTTTGCCTTAAGAAGGCTAGCACAAAAGTAGCAACGATCGAAAAGGCAAGACCTCCTGCCTTGGGACCTCCTAACTACTCCTCGAAGCCGAACTCCACGTAGAAACATCCTCGAGATCCTCTGGCCCCTGGACTCCATTATCTGGTTGCGACATCCGAGAAAAATGGAAAATGGGGAAAAGAGGGAGCAAAGCAACCTTGAGTACTCATCTAAAATACTCACAAGTAAGAAACTACACTATATATGCATTGGTATCAATGAAATGGGTAGTATCTGTGGACTGAACTGCAGAATGCCAGAATAAGAGGGGGATAGCTAGTCCTATCAACTTGTCTGCCAAGACATAAAAAAAATACAGGCAAAAAGAAACCACACCCCTGCAAGGTCACGGGCCAGATTTTGGCGGACCATTCACGTGCATGTCGAATGTCGCACGCCAGCGCCAGCCAGGTGGGCAAGGCGAGCACATGTGTGTGGTGTTCTCTTTCTCTTCTTAACCTATCATTTAGTGGAGTGCAGAGAACCCGCTATTTAAGTTGGTTTCACACCTCCTCCACTTTCGACATGGGACTAAACTTTAAAACCATATCTTGCCATTTATTCATAGGATTTCGAGATTTACACTAGGAATTACAGAAAATCTTCGTCGGTCGAGCCCATTATTCTAACACTTGCTAGGGAAACTAGGTTTTCTGCCACTTATGATTCGTTTGAGGAGCCTCTGAATGATATTATACCCCTCCTCTTAGGCGATGTAACTGTTATTCCGAATTAATAAAGTTCTATTATATTTATTTAAAAAATGTTATTCTTAAGTGATGTCATGTAACTGTCGCCTGGATCAGCCAGGTATGTGCTCGTAATGCTCAGAGCATATGCATGAAGCAAGAACATTGCATCTCATGAAGCAAGAACTTCAGGCGTTTGCGGTATCAAATGTGAGATGTTTACTCGCCGTACTTCGAGATGTGCAAACATGATCTTGCCATGTGTCTCTGCACTTTGTCATGATCATCTTGAGGACACGTATAACCACATTGCAACTGATGACAAGACAAATCGAGGATCAGAAAAACTAGTTAAGCTGTCTCTGATTTCTGCAGTGGGCGAGCAGATTAAACAGCAACATGCAGAAAGACGGGTCTCAAAATCAAAGTCTGATCCATGACAACGACGACGAACATACTGCTACAAACAAGATGAAAATTAAGGTTGGCAATGGAGAACCCAACAAACGATCATCAGCAGCAGTAGTGATGCAGAGTATTGTCTTTCTTCACCCTCTTCCTTCTCCTATCCTGTTCCCTGTGCAGCGGTGTTGTCTTGCTACGATCTGTCTCGTCAATGGCGATGGGGGGCAAAAACTTGGACGGTCGGTCAGTAGGAGGGGGTGGCGAGGGCCAGCTCGGTGCCCACTCTGCCGCCGCCGCCGGTCGTCGTCGTCTTCCCGCCTTCCGGCGATGGACGGACGGCGGTGGCTCCGCACGGGAACGGCAGCGACGCCGCGTCCTGCGCCGTGTGCCGGAGCTGCAGGTCGAGGCCGCCGTCAACCCTGGGGCTGCTGCTGGTGGCCGGCGGCTGCGGAGGGTGCTGGACCGGCGAGTCCGGGGCGGGGAGGAGCAGGAGCTTGGTGGAGGAGGCGGCGTTGGTGGAGGAGGCCGACGGCGGCGTGGGCGGGAGCTCGAGGCCGCCATCCATCGCGCACTCGTCGTCGTCCACGGACGCGACTCTCGCCGCCGTCGGTGTCCGCGGGGACGATGGTTGCGCCTCGTCCGGCCACTCCCTGCACTTCCCGCCGTCGCCGTCGACGTCGGCGAGCTGGTCGCCTGCGCCATTGCTCTCGTGCCTGTCAGCTTCGCCGCACTCCCTGGCGCACAGAAGAAGACGCGGCTCCGGTCCCATGATCCGCAGCTGCTGCTGCTGCTGCTCCCCAGCATTCAGAAGCTGCATGCCCTCCTGTTCATCACACACACAGCACTAAATTACCAAATCATTCCTCAAATCTGATGCTAATATGTAATCATCAGGCACAGAATCTTGGAGCAAATGCCATCATAACAAGAAATCAGAAAGATTATTCATCATTCATCATGCAACTGGTGCAGTTGATGAACTGCAGCGAAGTGTACCTTGAGAGACAGGAAAGAAGTGGAGAGAGCAGCCACCTGCTGCTCCAGCCTGGTGTTCTTCTCAAGCACAGCCTCATACCTCTCCTGCACAACAGATTCAGAATCAACTCCACATCAGGCACATGATTAACTCATCAAGAAATGCAGCTAAAGTTGATCTGTACAGTACAATGAGAACAGGAGCTGGGCAAATATTTGGTTAAAATTCAGATGTACCTTGAGGAACATAACCTCCTCCTCCAGCTTGCCATTCGCCCGTGTCGCGCTCACGTACTTCTCCTGAAGACAGATGCACAGCAACGGCTTCAGCATGATCAACAATGTGGAGACAACAATTCAGCCAGGAAAGTAGAATCTGATTATTCAGATTTAACTTGGCAGGCATTTCTTGCAAGATAACTAACTAACTAGATAAGTATGATTTTTTTTTGATAAACTAGATAAGTATGATGAATTTAAACTGAGGAGTTGCAGCAGTACCTCCAAGGACTGAACTTGCTTTTCCAGATTGCCATTGGCCTTCAGCACACACTCATACTTGTCCTGCAAATAAGATCATCATGAGTTCAAGATCAGCTAAGGAAATGCTCCATGGAATAAAGAAAAAGAAAGTGAACTTTGCAATTCTTACAGCACTAGTGGAAAGAGAGATGCATTCTGATGATTAAAACTACCAATGTCAAGTGTACTTGCAGATCATCATTGGAAATAAAAAGGTGCCTGGCCTAAACATCCACCTTAACCTCAGGTGTGAAAAATGAAATGTGAGAAGCAAAGCTGAGAAAGATTAGTGTGTACTGCAGGTGTCCCTGCAATGCCTTTCCAGAGGAGACAAATTGAGAGCTACAAATGTACCATGCTTTGGAAAGGCAAACCTGCTCCTGCATCTTACAAATTTCTGATGCAGTACTGCAATGCAATGTAATACTATGAGGCAACCAAAACCAAGAATTGCCACATGGAAGCAACTCAAATGTCAAATTTTCTTTCTTGATGTAATTGAAAATCCAAAAACAAGACTATCACAAAACCAAGACTATCACCAAAGACTTTCCACTTCCAAGCAAACTCAAATGTCAAAGTTCTTTCTGTAACTGAAACTCCAACACCAAAGTTTTCACAGAAGATGGAACCAGAAACATGCAAACCCTGACAGCTGACAAGTGTGCATCACAACTAAGGGTACCGGCTACATCCATGCATGCATACAACATTTTCCCCAAAAAAAATTACTTCAACAAACTTACATGATGCAGAACAGGGAGATGTAATTTTGACAGCAAACATACATGATGCAAACAGAGAGATGCAAAGCAAAGAGATGCATATCTCAGGACAGATAAGTGTGATCACCTGATAAGGCTCATGAGAAATGCAGGCTTTGACTGCCTCAGGTTTCACCTCATTGTTCATTGTGCCTTGATGTGCCTTCACCAGCTGCTGCATGTGCCTTCATACACAAATTCAGAGCAACAGGATTCAGTGCCAACACAAAACTAGCATTGCTACTAACTGTATGCAAAAAATGTTGACAATTGTAACAAAATGTTACAAAATTCAGTCTTAACAGTACAGAAATGTTAGTAATTCAGCACAAATGATCAACTTTAGCACAAACATTTCTTTGTCACATGCAAGAATCAATGGAAGATCGTATCAGCATTGCACTGCATTCTCCGGTTAGACCAATCCAAGAAGATGAAGAAGAAATTGCAAGAGAAGATGGCAGGAGAACAGGGAAAAGGAGACCTTTTTACTCCGGCGAGCTCCTTGGTGAGCTCCTCCACCTGCCTCTTTGCCTTGAGCGCGTAGCCGTCGGCGGACACGGGGTCCCCGCGCTTCCACCCTGGAGGCGGCACCCAGTAGGGGTCGACGCCGACCTCCCGGCGCAGGGCCGCGAGCTCGGCCGGCTCGAGCCAGTACTCCATGGCGCCGTCGGCGGTGTGGCGGCGGCGGATGCGCTCGGCACTGCCGCGCGGCACCTTGTCCGCGGTGTGCTTGAGGAGGTGGTCGAGGAGGCCCGTGTCGCCGATGTGCTTGCGCGCCGCCTGCCGCAGCTCGCCGCGGGGGACGGTCTTGCCGGGGCGCGCGCCGAAGCGGCGCAGGACGCCGAGCAGGGACGCCTCGGCGGCCGCGTAGCGCGTGGCCGTCCACCGGTCGACCATGCCGCGCGGCGCCGCGGCCAAGGCGGCGGTGGTGGCCTCCTCGGCCTTGACTGCGCGAGCGGGCTTCGTCTCCGGCTCCTCCGTGACGGTGACGGCGCGGCCGCAGAGAGGAGCCTTGCTCTTCCTCTCCCTCTTGACGGCCACCAGCACCACCGCCGTGCGCTCCTCCTCCGGCAGGCCCCTCTTCCTCTCCGTCTTGACCGCGGTGCGCTCGTCCCGGCCGCCGCGCTTCTCCTCCTCCGGCAGGTTCGTCTTCTTCTCCTTCTTGACCACCTTGCGCTCCTCCTCCTCCGGCACCGGCGGGGTTGCCTTCTTGGCGCGCTTGGGGACGCCACGGCCACGGCGACGAACGTCGTTCCTCTTCCTCTTGGCCTTGTCCGCCCTGGCCACCACCTTGCGCTGGCTCTCTGCTTCCGGCCCGGCGTCGGCGTCCTCGAAAGCCTCGACCTTCGGAGCGGCAGCGGGCTTTTGGACCTTCCTCTTGGGGAGGCTGAAGCTATGGACACGGCCGGGCTTCCTCCTCCTCCGCTTCTTGGTCGTCCTCACCTCCGCCACGGCCGGCTCCTCCTCCTCCCGGCGGCCGCTGTCTCCTCCCTCCTCCTTGTCCGCCTGCGTCTCCCCAAGCAGCCCGAGCAGGTCCTTGGTCTTGACGTTGCTGGAGCTGCCCTCGTCCGCGTTCGCGCTCTGGTGGACGCCGGTGGCGGGCGCGGGACGGCGATCGTGCGGGGTCTCGGCGACGACGGCGGCCGGCGCAGGCAGGGGGTGTACACGGGGGCGATCGTCGTGGCGCGGGGCGCGGTTGCGGGCGACGTAGTGGACCCGCTTCCGGACGCCCCAGCCGAGGCCGGTGCCCTGCAGCGCGAGCAGGCAGAGGTGGGCGCTGGGCTTCCTCGGCAGCGGCGAAGGCGAAGGCGCCCGCGGGGACGGCGCTGGCGGTGCAGGTGGGAGCGGGTCCGGGTCGCGCTCGTGCTCCGGCTTGGGGAGGTCGCGGTCGTGCTCCGGCTTGGGGTTGATGTCGTGGCCGTCGTCGTGCTCCGGCTTGGGGTTGATGTCGTGGGCGTCGTGCTCCGGCTTGAGGTTGTCGCTTTGGCGGTCGTCGTCGTGCTTGAAGAGGTGGTGCTTGGAGAAGTCGTAGAGGCGGGGCGCGGCGGCCCAGTAGGCGTCGTGGGCGTCCACGCCGAGGTCGTCGGCGATGGCGCGGCGGCGCAGGACGGCGGAGGCGTGGATGGCCGTGGCGCTCATCGCGTGGGCAGAGCAGAGCAGGCCGCCAAGGGAAGGAGAATGGTGGATGGAGGCGAGCAGGAGCGGGAGGGAGGATTGGGTTCCAAGAAAGCGAAGAGGCCGGTGGTGGAAGGGGGGAGGAGGGGATGGGGGTATAAGAAGAAGACAAAGGCGGCGCGGCCAAGAGAAGGGCGGCTGGTGTGCTGCAGGCCGGGTGGCAGGTCAGGTCCGCTCCGGCCGGTCAGAGAAGAAGGGAAGGGGAAGGGGAAGGATGGTTGTTGGGTGGCAGCTTTGGTTTGCTTTGCCAGGCGAGGAGGAACACGAGAGAAGAGAGAGAGAGAGAGGGGCTGGGCTTGATCCTATCCCTCCCCATGTCTCCTCTGCTGTGGTCGCCGGAAAGGAACCTGAAAAGGGATCGTCTCGGATCAAGGAAAGCAGAAAAAGCACTGCACAGCAGAGAGAGGGGAGATACAGATACGTCCGTCCGTCCGTCCGTCCGTCCGTCGTGGTGTGCCCGCTTTCTCTCTGCTCGGTTCCCGCCAGAATTCAAAACCGGAGCAAAGAGACAACGCGGTCGTCCCAACTGCTCTCTTCCCGCCAAAAAAATCAAAATGCCCTTGAGGAGGATCGCGCCGGCAATTACTGGCAACCTGATTGCCATGATCCTGCCTCTGCTCTGCTCCGCTTTGGATGGTCTGTTGGTCGGTTTGCTGGAGGCCGCCCTCCCATGTCCCCCAGCAAGCACCTCATCGACAAACAGTGAACCCAGACCAGACCAACAAAGGGACCAAAGAATCAACTGTGGCAGCAGAAACAGAAGGACCAAAGAATTCTTCAGGCTCTGCTGATCAAGGGGGGGTCAGTCTGCTACAGTTGTGGTGATCCATCCTGGACACCGTAAGTCCATGTGTGATGGAATTAAAAATAAGTGCTTCATCTGTAAGGCTACTCCTCATCAAGTACGTAGATGCTTTGCTTGTCAAGAAGGGGCCATCATCAGTCTGCTGGGTACATTGGCAGTGCAGCTCCAGGGCTGGGTTTTTTTTTTATCAGGTTTCTGCTACTGTTCTAGCGATGAGAGTTTCTCGTAGAATCAATTAATTAAGGAGGATGAAGCAAACCAAACAGCACGTACTAACTGACCAACCAACCAGAAGAGAGTAAGAAACCATCCAATCCAACAAGGAAACAGAAGCGGCTCTGGCTCTGGTCTCCCGCCAAAACATGAAAGGAAGCCAAGGAAAAAAAAACACGGACAGACGGAGAAGTCAAGAAAGATCATTTTTCCATCAATTAGCAGATTAATTACCAGTCGGGGAAGGGTAAATAACACACGTCCAAAAGTTACAGCCCTCCATTAGCACTACTACCCTACCCAGAGCGCAAAAGCTGAGCAGCTGGAACTGGATATACCACCTCCTCCTACAAGGAGACCTCTTTCTTTCATCGATCAGGCTTCTACTTCTACTCTAGATCAACATCATGCCGTGGAGGAGCCTTCTACTTCTGCCCACACCGGAACACCAAAAATGGCGGGTCCGCACAAGCACCCGCACCGCCCTCTCTGAGCCCCGAGGCGCCTCTCTGGAGGAGCTCACGCGGTCGTGCGCGCGAGGTACTTGCCGCGTTCATAGCTCAGTCCCCGGAGCGACGCCGAGCACAGCGAGGGGACCAGGACGGCGCCGGGGACGCCCAGGGCCTCGCAGACGCCTTCCTGTGGTGTCGTCTTCGACCGTGCGTCCGTGCCTAGGGATGCCAAGGCGGCGTTCAGGCCAGCAGATGAGGGCTCCAACCCGATCCTGCAAAAACAACAGAAGCACACGCAGCCGCTATTTTCAGCGCGTGCAGAAAAAGGGTTTCCAATGGGCGATGGATGATGGCGGGGAGGAACCTTGGTGCTTACGTTAGATCGAAGCGGTCCGTGTCTGAGGTCATCACGGCACAGACGCCCGAGACGACCCATGGCGGGAGAGCCGCATCCTTTATCTCCATGCTGTAGCACATGCTGCCACCCGCCACAAGAGGGGGATCAGACGCCGCTAATCCAGCTTCTCCACCGTCATCACAAACACTAGACGAGGCCAGGCCATTGTCGGCTTTCCTCATCTCCCTGCATATCACCTGCAAGACCATGTATTCAGGGAGGGTATGAGATTTTCCGAGTTTTTGCACAAACACAGCGAAGCGTTATAAAACATAGTATAGCTGCTTCGATTTCAAGTGGATGAATAAGGTGCTTTTAGACCGAGCATTCTGTGACTTATTAACAGCGAATCCAGCAAACAAAATACTTGACACTAATGATAGATAGTTGTGCAGCAGTAGCACCACGTGGTTAATAACTGGACGTAAATGTGGGTCCGCAAAACCATTTTGCTTGCTGCCTAAGGAAGCAGGCAGGAAGAAAAACAAAGTCGATGGAAATGAAACTACCTCGGGAATATGGAGGGAACCATTTTGAAATGGCACCGGTGAATAGAGCACCGGGACGTCTGTGGCAGATAATGAATTCAGAAAGGATCTGGAAAAAGAAATCACAGGTTTAGATTACACAACATGAAAAACCCAGGGGTTTAAAAGGAACAGAGTGATTATTACAGATTAAGCACCCTACTTGTAGTTCAACAAGACATCATATAAGCCATGAACGCTCTTATTGCCAGTAAATGAAAGGAGTGACTGCGTGGTGTTGTCCACCTCAGATAAAGCATCTATATGAAGTGTCTGCCCATTCAATAGAAAACAATCACAGTCAGTTACTAGCTGCAGCCTTACCAGAGCAAATAAGTGCAAGTTGAAGAATTAAATAGAACCTGGCCCAGGTTGAGTGTTCGGATTTTTGAGAATTCGATCAGGTCGTCTTCGGTGGCCTGCTCCACTTCGGCCTTGCATAGGGGCATAGAAAAGCAAACACCCTGCAACAATGCAGTCATATGGTCACACAATTATGATCACAAGTGACAATGATGTGTTAACCCGGTACAAAGCTTGAAATCAACACAGCTTGGATTGGCCTGGAGCAATTCGATGCCCTAGAGACCAACATACCAAGTTAATATTTCGTTTCTATTATGGTACTCCCTTGTAAACTAATATAAGACATTTTAAATCACTAAAGTAGTGACCTAAAACGTCTTATATTAGTTTACACAGAAATACCAAATAAGTGTAGAAAATCGACTTCAACAACAAAAAAGATGTTTCTTTCAGTAAAATTGGCAAACAGAAGAAGCACTGAGTTTAATCACAAAAGTCTTAAAGCTTTATTCACATGTGGAACTAGTGTGATGTTGTAACTCATATGTCGTAAGTCCCCCAAAAAAATGGAAGTGGAAAATGAAGAAATCTAGAATAGACTTGCCAACCAATAAGTCGATCTACTTGAGTGAAGTAACACTTAGAAGTTGGAAGCAGTAATGTACATAATGGTTGGTCTGTAACAGAAATGTGGCACTGTAATAGGGGTTTCAAAAAGAAATGTGAAACGATGGTGAGGTTGGAAAAACAAAATGAAGGACTGACCTGTTTTCGTAGTAGTGACCTCATGCCACGTGTAGATTGTGATAAGTAGGCGTTACAGGACTGCTTCTCCGAACCGTTTCCGCTGATAAATAGAGCAACAAATTGTGCTGTATAAACTGCAATAACAAAAGTAATGTTCAGTAAGATGAATGAGGGTGAGCCATAGACTCACAGTCTAGTAGAACCTAAAGATTCAATACTTCCCACGAAAATGAAATATAACTGCAATCGAAGGTAATCATGAGACAAATGTGGAATCTTAACATGTTCAGAATTCTTTGTACATGTACAAAGACAGTTAAATGTTTCATATATATGACCAATCAGATTATTATGAAGGATTGAGGTATGAGGAGCAAGAAGATACCATAGAAGATATTCAATAGATTCTTCCGGAACATGTAGTAAAGATTCTGAAAAGAATCTTCCCAATCCTGATACCTTTTGTCCATGAAATCTTTTTCTACATGCCAGAAGGAGAAAGGGTAAAGATCCACAAAAGTACGGGGATATTTTATCTTGAAAAGCACGCAATAGTTCGGTCTAGTAATTACCTCCTCGTGCAGTTGATGAGAGCATGGCAGATACGATGGGAGCAGGTAACATGGATTGTGGATATACCCATGACTGCAGTGCCTTCGAGAACAAGAATTCCTTGTTGCTCTCTTGCCTCGTGCGTCCTGAACTTTGAGATCTACCTCCAGCAACAGTGCCCCTACAACTTGTACTCAAATTGTGACACCTGTTGCAGGCAAGAGTTATTATACTTTGGACCTTTGAGGCAGAAATCTAAACAAAACCAAACGAAAACGACAGGGTTCAATTTGCAAGTACATTTCAATTAATTTCCCTAGCAACCGTATGCTGTACTAGACATGATATCACTTGGAGCACTGACTCATACAGACACCAATACTTCATTCAAATTTCTGGAAAAAAATTGCAGGTGTAGTAAGCATCCAATGAGACTAAATAACCAAGAGACACATACCATTTACATATCTAATTTTCAGAGTGTCAATCTAAGACATGTCACCGGGTCAATCAAGATACTCATGAACTTTCTCTGGGAACGGTGCATTTTCTAAATGAAAACAAGAAAGAAGCTAATGCATACGCACCACTTCACAGAAGATGATGAAACAAACTGCAGGGTTGTCTTCAAGGTGAGATCCAAAGGAGCTCTTTTTCCTGGTATTGTGATCTTGGAAGGGCACACCTCTGAAGACTTCAAAGGAACATCACCAGCCTGTATGTTAGTGCCACTGGAAGCTCCAGAAGCACCACGAGCTCCGAACCCTTTCATCACTTTGTCCTACACAGAGCACCAGAAATATTAGAGGATGGTTAATAAATACATATACTGTAGTGCACTAGGTAGATGCTCCTAACCATGTCAAATTTACTAGAGCCAGCCTGCTTCTCATCGCCAATGTGAAGCTCTGATACACTCCGCAGAGCATTCTTGCTGCATTTCTCAGCTTTCCTAAAACCTGGTTTTGCTGCTTCCGCGAGCGATGGAACAGAAGAGTCCAACTGGGCAGAGTCGTCATTGGTGCTGAATTTTGGGAGAAAAACAATCCAAATAAGAGCATGGACATCGCATGAAACAAGATCAACTGCCTCTGGTAAAATAATTACCGTGGAAACGGAGATTCTGCAGACTGTGAAGCCGTTACAGCATCAGCAGACTTGGGAGCCTTCTCATTGTTCAGTAAAGCATCCTGCTTTGAAAGACATTATAACAAGTTACTTATATAACAAAACAAGTGGTTCAACACGATGCTGTCAAATACTTGGAGCAATGAGCATCATTTTCTTTAACAAGACACAACGTCTAACCTTACAATTTTCTTTCCCAACGTTTCTGGATTTTTTAACTGGGAACACCTCTGTGACACGAGTGCTGACGTATTTGGATATTTTCTGCTGTTCTGGGTTCCGAGGCCCATTGCTTGGCCTATACCCAGAAAATCAGTCAGGCATCAAATTTCCCAACAAAGCAAGCACAAGAGGAGAGCAACATCACGATACACGACAAAAGAACACTTTATACCTATCAAACGCCGCAGAAGGGAGTGACTGATCATTGGCAACCTTTTCAGACACGCGTCGCTTCAACTGCTCTTCCTGCGGGAATCAATCAACGGAACAAGATTCAGTGTTCATCTGCGACCCTGTAGCATATAATGCTTGCAGCAGGATTTGATGCATTTTTAGTGTGTAATAATGTGGCGATGTGAAGTGGAGACGAAGCTCTAGCAGGCCCCATGTTTCCCCTTTGTAAGATCAACTCACTCTCCTAAAATCGCTGAAATACGGAGGTTCTTCACAACGCATTCTTCATAAGTGAAAAAACTGACAATGCGGCTGATTCACAGCGCATTTAACTATACATATGCATGTATACCAATTGGTAGATTACAATGCAGCACTGCATCAAACACTTGGCTAAATTCTGGTGCAGTGCAGCTACTCTCTGGCTGAAACCTAAGCGCCGTAAACGGTTGGATGTGGCATCGTTCTTAATGGGTAATAAACGCCTTTCTTTCAAAATAACTGCAGCGCTGCGTCAAGATCTTGTTTGGGACTTGTTCGGCGTCGCGTTTCAAAATAACTGCAGCGCTGCATCTCTGGATTGTAGCGAC